ATCTCTGTCTTTAAACCTTAAGATCCTCATTCTCATCTAATGACCTCATTTGTTATTTCACTTAGAAAGTAGAATAATTCAGAAGAGAACTACCTCATATTCTCCAAAACCAAATCTTTCAATCTCTTTGAATCTGTACATCCATACCCTCCCTTCTTTCATATTAAAGTGAGTGAACTGGTAAAGAATAGCTAAAGCATTTTGGAAGAAGAAAAAGTAAAAGGACTTACATTCCAGATATCAATATTTATTATAGAGCTATAGTAGTTAAGAGAATGTAGGATTGGCACAAGAATAGACAAAGAGACTAATGGTGCAGAATACAGTCCAGAAACAGACCCAAACATGTATATTTATCTGATTTATGAAAAAGATGACACTGTAGTGAGGTAGAGAAAGTATGACATTGTTAATAAATAGTGTGGATCAAATGGATTTACATATGGAAAAAATATGCTTGAATCCTAACTTATACCATATTAGAAATTAATTCCAGATGAATTATAGATGTAAATAGAAAAATAAAGCTATAAAACTTAAATAAAGGCCACTGTCATGATCATGATTTAGTCAAAGATATCTCAAATAGGACATAAAGAAAAAGATTATAAATAAGCCTACAATAAAGTTAAAACCCTCTGTTCATCAAAAAACTTAATTAAGAGAGCGACGAAGCAAGCCGCAGAATGGGAGAAGTCATTTGCAATACAAATATCTGACAAAGGAATAGAATATAAAAATAACTGCCACAAATCAATAAGGAAAAGCCAGCATCTGATGAAAAAACAGGCAAAAAAATTGAATAGATACAATGAGGTATCCAAACAGTCCACAAAAATATGAAAAGATGCTCAATTTCTTTAGTAACCAAGGAAACACAAATCAAACCATTATGGTATACCAGTGCATAACAACCAGAATGACTAAAATGAAGAAGACAATGCCAAATGTCAGCAATGATGTGAAGCAAATAGAACTTTCCATACATTGCTAATGAGAGTGTATAATGGTGGAACCACTTTGGGTAACTGCTGGACAGTATCTACAAAAACTGAACATACACATCCTGATAATCCAGTAATCCCACTTTTTGATAGATACCCAAGAGAAACGTACCCCTGTATTCACCAAAAAACATTTGCAAATATGTTTACGGCAGCACTATTAATAATGGTCCGACACTGGAAACAACCCATGTCTTTCAACAGAATGGATGAATAAATTACAGTATATTTATATAAAAGAACACTATTCAGTAATTGGAATAAATGAATTATATCTACAGGCAACAACATGGATAAATTTTACAAACATAGTGTTAAGAGAAAGAAGCCAGACGTGAAAAAATACCTTCTTTACAATTCCATTTATATGATGTTTGAAAACAGGCAAAATTAATCTAAGGTGTTAGAAATTGGGAGTGTGATTACCCTTGGCAAGGGGCAGGGGTTGTTTGTAAAAAGAAATTGATTTATCAAATATTCTATTACAAATACACATTATTTGAGTTACCTTTGCATTTGTTAAAAATGATCATCATGGTATTTCAAGTGGGAAAAATGAATAACAAAATAGTAAAAACACAAAATTATTGCCCAAGATATGAATTCAGCTCAGACTGCCAATCTTTCCAACTCTAAAGTCTGCATAAAACACATCTAAATTTTGCAAAACTCATAATTCTCTTTCTGAGGCCTTCACTATATTCTCTTTTAAGAAGAAATGATGTCATGTCTACATGTCTTTATTTGAAAAACTATTTTTAAAAAAAGGTGAAAAAATTACTTTGAAATAAACCAAATGTAGGCAGCTGCTTTCTCAATCAACCTTTATATTACCAGTCTAACTTTGAACACCTACACTGTTGTTTCTCAAAGTCCAGTGTACAGAACTTCTGCATCACTACCTCTCTTGGAATCTACTGCCACAACTATTTAAAACGGGGTAACAATAGTTACTACCTCATAGAATGGTTATAAAGATTAAATGAGATAAAAATGCATTATCTTGGAACACAGTAACTGCTCAGTAGATGCCAGCATTTAATACTAACACTCAATTTATATTAGTACCATTATTAGAATAACCTGGTATGTTTGGTAAATTACTATTAATTTCTGAGCTCACCCCCAGACCACTGAAGCTGAGTCATTGGTTGGGCCTGGAAATCTGCACTTTAGCTACTACCATTTGGCTAATTCCTTCTGTGCAAATTTGAGAATCACTGTCCAGAGATTAGGGCTTGCTTATTTGTTCCTCACAGTTCCAATACAGGGATCTGCACACAATGAATGCTTATTGACAGGCTGGCTTATGTTCAATATTGCCAGACTGATATGACATAAATTATTAAAGAATCTGGAATTTATTAAGATTTGTGCAGTATAAGGGAATAGATTTTTACATTTTGACTCCAGTAAAATATAAAGGGAGGATTGTTTTGTTAATAGTATCAAAAGTAGCTCCAGCTTCAATCCCTTAAAACTCTTTCTTTATAAATGTGAAGATATTTGAATTCTATCATATTCCACATAACTTATTCTTTCCCTTAATATAACTCAGTCCATTTACATTTTTATTGCTTTTTTTAACTTTAGAGGATCCAGAAATCATAGATATGTACTCATGGAGAGGACAAATGACCACATTCTCTGGGCTTGCATTATGAATATTAGACCCAGAACTAGGCTTCTATAACCACTTTCTTTCTTACATCTGTGTTCATTTACGGAAGGTTCCAGCAATTTGTCTAAAAGGAGAACTGAAAGTGCAAATGTCTTCAACTGTTTAATTCAAACAGAAATTTAAGTCAAATCACAGTAGTTATTTGAAATTTTTGTCTATAAGACAGTTATACAACTTATTACACTGAACAGAAAATTTTAATAAGGAGAATAAATCTTCTCATGAGATGTTTGCATTGAAAAGACAGGAGGGTCAACCTTTGACAGCAAAGAAAATGGAGGATTTATTTCCACCCTCATGTCTGCTTCATGTATTAACATAAAGATTAAAGGATAAAACCTAGATATTTTATCAGTGCAAGATAATGTTTAGGAACTAAAGAAGAACTTCTTTAGTGAAAAGTCTTAAACGAATGTTCTATTGTGAAAGATAAATTCATAAAATTTAGTTACACGTTTTTCAATTACTCTTGGTTATCTGAATAAATCTAAATTCTATAAATTTAGTTTAAGAGGTTCAGGGAGACTTTATGACTCATTTATTTCATAAACCAAATATAAGAGTGTTTGGATTAGACATGAATAACTTGACCCACAGGCCATCAAATGGACTTGTTATTTTCCAGCCAACAATCTTCTCCTTTATAAATACCAAATGCCCTTGACTTTCTGATGCCACAGTTAACCTTTAAAATGACTCTGAAGTACAGTGAGTCTTCTTTACTCTCCCACTAAAGAGAGGAAAGGACTGTTTTTTTTTCTTTTCTGGCAGTGACGCTAACTTGTGACAGTTTGCTAAGCAGTAGAAATCGTATATTAAGCAAAAGTCTCTGCAAGACAGAGATTACTACAAAATAGTCTTTATTTTTCCAATGGATACTGGCTACTCTTATAGGATCCAATTCCAAGAACAACTTCACTGAAGCAAGGGTCCCCTGGAACTGAAATCACAAGACTCATACAATACACTGAAACCACTAAGGCTTTTCTTCCACCTCTGTCCAGTGGCAGCTGGACCTCTGCGTCTCCTAGCTTATCTCAGTTCCACAGGCTGAATTTGGACATGCAAATCAGTTATAGTAACCTACATTCTGACAGGATAGAGTAAAAATATGAAAATGAGTGAACACCCTAAGTAGAATATTTAGCTGTTTAGCAAAGCAATGATAATACTAAAAACACTTACTTAAGCATCCTAATAATCTGCTTTTTCTTAGAGTTAATCAGAAAATTCCCAGATGTGTGAGGAGCAGCAGAAAACTTCAGATGACGTTTAACTCATGCTGAGCATTTACAACTGTTATCTTCTCCCATTTTGAGAACTATCCTGGTAATTACACATTGCCTTCCTTAGTGATCCTGTCAGAGAAAATTACTTATCAAAGACCCAAATAGAGTCACATGTACACTGGTCAGATTTTACACTGCCTTCCATACGTTTCTTTGGCCCCTCTTCTCTCTGTGATTACCTGTGGCTTTGATTATTCAGTCCCAGATTTAAGAATAAACCAAGAGGGACTTCCCTGGTGGCACAGTGGTTAAGAATCCGCCTGCCAACGCAGGGGACACAGGTTTGAGCCCTGGCCCGGGAAGATCCACATGCCGCGGAGCAACTAAGCCCATGCGCCACAACTACTGAGCCTGCGCTCTACAGCCTACAAGCCACAACTACTGAAGCTCATGTGCCACAACTAATGAAGCTCACGCGCTTAGAGCCCATGCTCTGCAACAAGAGAAGCCACCCCAATGAGAAGCCCGCGCACTGCAACCAAGAGTAGCCCCTGCTCACTGCAACTAGAGAAAGCCCATGCACAGCAACAAAGACCCAACGCAGCCAAAAATAAATAAATTTATAAAAAAAAAGAAAGAAGAAGAAACCAAGAGTCCAGAAAAAATTTGGTCTGTTTTTCTTATCAATGATGGTGACTGTGAATTCTATTGTGACACCTGAAACAAAATCTGAACATGCTCAAAAGCCAAAATAGATTTAGAAAAGGAGAACACTTCTGGAGACCTCTGGTTGGTAGGTGGGAGTTTACAAGTTCTGATCTCATTTTAAAACTCTGAAGGCCCTTCACAGCAGGCTCTGAGAGTAAGAAAAATGAGACTAAACTAGTGATGAGACTTTCAAGATCATCAACAGGACATCCATTTTAATTCCCACCACAACTAAATGCATTTGATCCATTCATTCATTCACTCATTCATACATTTAGTTCCCCATATCTTCTGCAACTCCAGTAAGTTAGGAGCTGGATCATAATTAAGTGCTTAATATATCTCCGAGGAATAAATATATGAAGCAGTAACACTTACTTTCCAGTAATAAACTGACTCCTGGACGGTGTGCAAATAGGCTGGACATAGTAGTTCTCCAGTTTAACTCCTTCGGCAGCAAGCTTGTCAAGAGTGGGAGTCTTTATCTCCGATCCGTGGTAACCCACATCTCTAAATCCCTGATCATCCGCTAGGATGAAAATGAGATGGGGCTGGGAGATGGTAGTTATGCTGGGCTCTGGTCTCTCTCCAGTTTGAGGTCGCATAGCCCCTTCCTCTTCCTCCTCCAAGCCCTGGCCCCAGGACAGGTAACCGTAGGTGAGGAGGCTGAGGACCCAGAAGCCTGCCAGCACCCCCATGGCTAGCATCTTTCCGGGCCAGACCCAGGCCTGCGGAGGAAGTGGCGGCGGCGGAGGTCCCGCGCAGCCCCTGGGGGCCATTCACTCTGGTCCCGGCTGAAACTCCAAGGCAGAACAACGCACCGCGCGCCGCCGCTGGCGCACACATGCACGCAGGAGGGGTAGAACCAACAGGCGGTGGAGGTGGAGGGGTCTCCGCCTGGAAAGAAGTCCGTGCTCCTCTCAGCTGTCAACACGTCCAAAAACTTTAATCTTCTACACGTGGTGGCTTAGGGGATGGGACGTGTCAGAGACCAAGGAGTCGCTTTTCTCCATCAGATCGCACTTTTTCCTCCTCCTCCTCGCTCCCCAAAGTAGCTTCCACACAAAAAGTTAATGCCTCCACCCAAAAGTTCTCAAGAGAAAAAAAAAAATCAAGTAAGGAATTGATAATCACCTTGGGCAGGAACTTTTCGTAGCCATAACTTTTCGCCCTCGAGGTGGAGGAGTGAGGTTCTCCCAGGGGCGCGCGCACCGTTGGTTGCGGGGTCGACCGTAGGTTCGGCAGTCCGGTCACCTGGAAAGTACTGGGAAGTGGAACCGCCGAAAAAGAGCTCTTACCCATGCAGATAACAAGCAGCATGCAGTGAACCGGCCTCCGGATCACTCTCTCCACTTTTCCAGAGCTATTTCTCTCGGTCTTCTCCGAGGCGTTTGCCAATCTCCCCGACACTCACCAGGCGGCGAAATGACAAAAACAGCCCGCTTTACTGATCTCCCTCCACCGCTGACCACCTCTTCTCCGCAGGAATTTCGAGCAGCGGTTCCTTCTCTCCGCTGCTGGAGCGCACGGGGACCGAAGTGGGTCCCTGACCCCGTGCACGCTCCACGCCAAGCCCACTTGGTCTCCGCGGGGTTGGTGGCCCGGCGGAGGCGCCGCAACCTGCGTGCGTTTTGTCAGAGAACTTACTTAGTTTTGGCACTGGAGTTCTCTGCTGCCTCCACCCTCTTTTCTCTCCAGTGAATCACAGAACTGTACTCTCTGCTTTAGCTCCCCCAGGAAGAGGGGGAGGGGTAAAGCCGGTTTAGAGGTTCGATCTTTTTCCTTTTCGGGAGGAGGAGGAAGGAGGGAGGGGAGGTTTTGCCGGAGAGAGAGCTGCCCGCTGCTTGAGCCCTGCTGGATCCAGGGGGATCCGCCTGGGCTACCGCTTCCCTGGGTCTCGAGGACTGCCCTCCATCCTCCGGAGAGGGGGAAAACGGCGGCGGGAACGGGGAAGGGTGAAGTGGGCGCTTCTCCTCACGGGTCTGCAAATCAAGAGACCGCTCTCCCATTCCGAATGCTGTGCATGCAAACTTTTTCTAGCTTCTGGAGGGAGTGAGAGAGGAAGAGCAGGAGAAACAACAAATTGCGTAGATAACACTCCTTCCTTCCTCTTCTGGTTTTCCTTTTCTAGTCTCTCTCTTCCCCCCAATTTTTCCTACTTCTTTTATTCCCGCCTCCTTTTTTTTTTTAACAGTCCCGACTACAAGTTAAGTTGAATTCCCTTTCCCTATTGCTGGCCTTTACAGCCTGACTTCCTCATTAGCGTCTCTCTACCCGAAGATACTGAAATCGCCTTCTCCTTGCATTTCCACAAACTGACCCTTAGCGTGTCTCAGCCAAGAACATGGGGAGGAAGAGGAGTTACACATCTCGCCCTCAGGAACCACGAGGCCGGTCTGCACTCCTGCAGTACAGAAACCACCATTTCCCATCTAGAAATTCGGGAAACTTTGTCCCCCCCGCGTTTTTTTATAACTATGTGTAGTAAAGCAAAAGCTTGTCCTGATTATGAAGATATGCCTGCTTTTACTAGAGTCCTGTTTTTAAATCTCTGCTCAAAGACAGGAATGGGATTTATAGTATCTGTAGGGGGAGGCAATTAATGCCAAGAGCCACCGAGACATGCTTTCTCCCCTCCCCAAATTCATTCAGTAGTTATTTATTGAGCACCTACTATATGCTGGCACATAAAATGTCAGATTCTCCCAATTGCCTAGGTATAAATCTAAGTTTCATTTAGCCATTTACTTATTTTTATCTACTTATTTTATTGAAGTATAGTTGATTTACAATGTTATATTCTGTCCTGTTGCTAAAGTTCCTGTTAAGTTTCTAAGCAAAACATTAGTCAAATGGAAATTTAACACCGTTGAAACTTGTAGTGTGCACTATGCAGTTATTTTTGCTAACATGTGTAGCCTTCTACTAGTCTGTTCTCTTCCCTGAGGCCATTCTGGTTAGTCTGTGGAGAGATGGGCAGTTTTAGAAGACCAGCTTGGAAATGTGATCTTGGCAATTCTCTGAGTTAAATCACCAAATGTGTAATGAGTGAACTGAGTATTGGGAGATTGAAAGCACTGTGAGGTAATGCTCCCAGCTCTGTGGGTCTAGCCAGGTGCTTGAGTAGAAAAGATGAAAATAAACATTCAGATCAATCCAGGTACTTTTAGTTGGGGAGGGTCAATGACATAATACAAGAAGTGTCCGTGTTGCTATACAAGAAGGAGGGCCATTTTCAGTTCACATTTCAAGCAAGAGTAAAAAAATAAACGTTAACATTTACCAAATACTTACCATGTGCTAACCATAACACTCTATGTACTGATAAACACACACACACACACATATCTGTAAGTATTTATACACTGTTTTATACACTTTGCCTCCTTTCCTTCTCCACCAACCTTATAAGATATCCACCCATTCAACAAATATTTGAGGAGCTGGGCCAGTGCTGGAAGCTGGAAATATAATCGTGAACTACGTCAGGTATAGCCTCTGCTCTAGTGGAACTTACATTGTGGTAGGGAAGAAATATACTGATAAACTAATCATTCCTAAACTCTAATACCTACTATTCTGTGGTATTCTGTATAAGTATCCAGATAAGTATTCAAAAGAGAAGGAACAAAATTCCAAGACATTTTAAAACAAAGTAAGCTGACTTAGTGTGGTTAGTGGGTAAGGTGGTACAAGGAAGTAACCTTAAAACTGAGGGAGATGTTATATTGTTTATTGTCCTCTTTTGCAGGAAATTTAGACTTAGAAATCTGTCTGACTTTAAAACCCATATTTTTCAAAAGCTGTTCTTCCCACAAGTGGCTTTAAGATGTTTTCCAGCCATACAGCACAGAAAGAACACAGCTGCCAGAGTCAGAGAATTCTAATCCCCACACAAGGCATGCAGACTATCCACACACAGGATGGAAAGGCAGAACTCAGCCCTAAAAAAGCCATTTCTGGAGTAACACTAAAGGAGACTAAGAACTACTTACAGTTAGTAATAAGAGCCAAGAAACAAGAATGGTCATGCCATGGTAGACCAAAGGAGATGTGACTCAAAGGGGAAAATCCATCAGCTGAGTGCCCCACCCACGGTAGGATATAGGTAAGGATTATTTCCACATACATAAGACTTGCGAATGAAATCATAGGCTGTTGAATGGCCTATGCTTTATTGTACCTACACTGATATTTTAAATACATATACTTTGCATTTCTAATTATAGGATTGGTTTCATGCACTCTAAGCAATAGTTTTAACATCCTTATGAAATCCCAAGTTAAAGACCCTCAATAACTTATGGTTCTTTCCTGAGCTGGCATCTTGGTGTTCAGGCATCAGGTTCCCTTGTGGAATCACATCTTAGGTTTATTTTGGCTTGGATGTGGTCACATTGCAAATACACTACTCTAGTTATGGAATGATTATATAAAAATTAAAGATACTATTTGATTCAGTTAAAAAGATGAGAAAAGCAGAATTGCTTAGAGGTGAAATTAGTGTGAACCAATTATTCAGGTAAAGCTTAATCAGGAGACGGGATTGAAGCTATGCCTTAAAGTATGATGGAAATTTGGAAAGGAGGAGAAGTTAAAGGAAGGACATTTCAGATAAAAGGAAAGAGAATACCAACTGGCCAAGACACAGTTGGACTGGGAGAGTTTGGAAAATAATGTTAGAATGTTCAAGTGACACCAGATATTGAAGGACTCTGAAAAGCTATGAAGGGATGGACCTTGATTCTGAGGGCATTAGGAGTGATGAGGTCCTTTAAACAGGACATAATATGATAAAATATTCTACTAAATCTTATTTAGGTTATTTCTGGGATTTGTAGAGATAGAAGCTACAAATGAATTGCTTCAGTCCATAACAGTTTGAAGAGTTGTAGTTTTACCCTGAGAAGACTAAGTCTATTGAAGTTTTTTGTTTTAGAGCAAGACGTGATGAAAAATATAAGAAATCACAGGATATTTTTAGGGAGAGATTTGAGGGAGTAAAGACTAGACTCACACAACTGCCACAATGTGTAAAATTTCTACAGCAATATATATTTTAGGATAAAGAACTATGCTATGGCTATGCCATCTGATGGGAGATGGGCATTCACTGAAAGTTTAGAAAGAAGTAAGTAATCAACTAAGAGGAACACATGGGACAAAGGAATAAGGGACACAAGATAGGACCTCCTTTGATTGGATAATGTTAAAGGAAAAAAAGGAGTAGGGTAAATTGGCAGGATGGTCACTACTAGAGAGGGGAGATCAGAATAAGGCACCACAGTGTGGCCTGGGGCTCCCCAGGGGACAGACCAAGGGTAGTAGATGGCTAGGAGTAGAGGGTGGAATGAAGGAGTGGATATGAGGAGCCTATCAGTAAATAGAGAAGCTAAGAAAAATCACAGATAAGCAGTAAAATGTGTAGTTGCACAGAATTTCTTTGAAACATTTATGTTAAGCCTCACCATAAAGATGACATTTCCTGTAGCACAGTATGCATGGACAGAATTGCCCTAGCTTACAAATTGCATACATAAAAACAAGTTTTGTTTTTTGGTGTTTTTTCCCTAGTAGGATAGCATGCCTACTACACTGTTTCCTTTTCTTCTGTAGGTTATTTATTTTCAACTAAACACGTACTCAGATGCTTAAAAGATACAGCTAATTTTTAAATGCAGCTTTAAAAAAATGTGAAAATGGTCAATCTAGGGATCTACAGACTATTAAAAGATTTAAAATCCTAATTGGTGCTTGTTTGGGTTTATAAGTATATTAAGTTCTTAAAAATGAAGGCTATTACTAAGTTTAAGTTCATACACAAATTGTCTAAAACAAGTTTGTCCTAATATAGTCATCTTCACATGAATTCCATATAATAAACTCCTTATTAATCATTATTAACTCTTTTTGAAGCTATGGATCTAAGGCTACTTTGAGCCATTGTCACAAGAAACAACAGCTCGCTGAATAAGACCAAGTAGGATGGTTAAATGCCTGGTTTAGTAATTGAGATCACTTCCCCTTTTATGGAAAGTCTCTGTTGAAATAAGCTATAATAATTTATAAAGAAAACATGAGACACCAAAGTTTCAACTGTGTAAAACTGTGGTTACCCAAAAGTAGCAAGGTTTTTGACATGAGAAATTCAGAAAATCTGAAGTCTCAAAGAAGAGATCTTTCTTCCATTCTATAAACGTCTTTATGTGAAAGCAGACTTTTAAACAAAATGTTTATTATGGGAAAGCATGGTAATTTCTATAATTTTAAAATCTGTTTTATTGATTAAATTGTAAATAAAATTCTATATCATTTACATAGCAATTTTCTGTTTACAGTATCAATTCCTAAGCCTGGCTGCTCAATAGAATCCTTTAGTGATTTTTTTAAAAAGGAAATTCCCAGCTCCACCCAAAACCTAAATCAAAATACCCAAAGTCTGAAAATATCTATATTAGAAAAAACTTTCCGGGTGATTCTCATGTGTGTTGAGTTTTGAGCACCACTGATTTAGAACCTAAAGCATCAAGAAGCTTTAATGCGATTGCTTAATGGATAAGGTTGGTGCCATCTACCAAATATAATATGGGAAACACAGCGGAAAAATAGGTGGATAAGTCTAGAGTCAGCACATCTGAGGACTGAGCACCTAGTTCCTAAACTAGGAAGCACAGTTGGGATATGGCTAAACCACCAGGATCTAGAAAAGAAGGGAGAGGCATTAAAGTCTAAGGGGGTGATTATGTGGGACAGCAGTCTGTGCAGGCATTGGTGGATTCAGAAACACTCAAAGGGAAGACCAGCAGGAAGAGCTAAGTTTGGAATCCAGCTCCTCCATAGATGTCTTTGGGTAAAATTCCTGTTACTATCCCTGTGGCATGGACCAAAGGTGTAGGGTGCTGACCTCCTGATATTGATGTGGTGTGGTGTCTGGTCTCAATGGGGCTAGACAGATGTGAAATCCAAAGTCAAGGCTCACCAGTAAGAGTAAGTGCTTGATCAGATATCCAGGGAAGTAGCATTTTCCTGATTATGGACTTTATGAATCTATAACAATCATATGAATTTAAGAATATAAGAATCAATTGAATCAAAGAATAAAAGTTGTATGAAATTTATAAGATATTCAGTAGTAAAATAAATAGAAGTTAGTGACTGGAGAAAAAGAATGAGGGAGGAATGAATGATTATACCTAGTTTCTGGCTTGGAGAAATTGAATGAATAGTGGTACCATTTATAATGGTAGGAGTCATGAAAGCACTAGCAGGTTTGGGAGTAGACAGCAAATAATTACTTTAATGTTGTTGAATTTGAGGTCTGTGAGCCATCTCAATGAAGGAGTGCAATAGTTAGGTGGATATATGGGTCTGGACCTCAGGGAATAGGGCAGAACAGAAAATTTCATCCACACCTAGAGTGGGTAAAATTTCCCAGAGAAAGGTGGAAAATGGGAGTGAGAAAGGGCCTAGGACAGAACTATTTAAGGATAGGGAAGATAAAATGGGGCCCACAAGGAGACTAAGAAGTAGCAAGAGAAATATAACGGCAAAGGGGGCGACATTTATTGAACATTACTTAATAATGGCATGGTGCCAGCACTATATGAAGCGGTTTTTCATGAAACGTCTCAGTGCTCTTCACAACCATACTTTACTTATACAGGTGTTATTATTTTATAACAAAGTGGGGAGCAAGAGAAGGACATCAAAGAGAATAGTATATCAAATAGCCAAGAACCAGAGAACCAGCACACCAGGAAGTGGGAGAGGTCAATAGAGTCAAGAGTAAAGAGGACAGTGAGATAAAGAACACAGTAGGTGTTAGTTCATTGGGATAAGTTCTCTGTGAATGGCTTACTAAAGCTTATTTCTCATCTGTGTTTACCAACATTGACAATGATAAAGCTCTAAACTTTTGAAGTATTGGTAACAAAGTAGGTTGAAAAATAAAACAAGGTTTTAGTCCAAAATCTATAAAGAAAAACCCTAATAATCATCAAATAATATAAATGTTACAATAAACTAGATGAGACGTGTGGAGTCCTTACAAAGAAAAGTATATATTTATATTGGAAGATGAAAAAATTTGAATAAATGGTTTTGAATAAACTTTCTTCAAAACGAAGTACCAAATATTGTAAAGATAGTTAAAAGCATGCATCTAGTGCCATTCTGCCCATTTGCTAGCTAATAAGTTACTTATCCTCTCTTTGCCTCATTTTTCTCATTTGTAAAATGGGGATAGTAACAGTACCTAATGGATAGTGTGGCATATTACTTAGCTGTTGCCAAACAGTGCTGCTTAACAAACCACTCCAAAACTCAATGGTAAAAACAACAATAATTTAGTCTTACAGGTCTGTGCATCTGCTGGACCAGCTCTGCTCCAAGTGTTTCCCATCTCCTCCTGCGTTCAGTGGGATAGACGCAGGTTCTTCTCATGGCAATGGCTGAAGCACAGAGAGCAAGCCCAGCCAAACAAGCACATACCAACACTCAGCTTATCTCCTCATGTGCCATTGGCCAATGCAAATCTTATGACCAAGCCCAGAGTCAAGGGGTAGAAAATACACCCTTCCCAGGATTAGGCCATGACAAAGCTGTGGATACAGGAAGAGTTGAAGAAATAGGGCCAATAATTAAATAGACCAAAGTTTTTTTTTTTTTTTAAAGTTGTTTTGAGAATTAAATGAGTTAATATTTGAAAAGCACATAGAACAATGCTTGGTCCATTGTTAGCACTATTAATGTTTGTTTTAATTTGCTATTACTATGATAATTATTCCTAAATTATAAATTATTCCTAAGTTTAATGAGTTTAATGTCATTGAGTCAAAACCTCTATCTGATGATAATTCAGAACTCAACATAAGGTAATCTCAAAAAGAAGAGTTATAGGAAGGCCCCAGCCTTACCAGGTAGTAGAACATATTATTGTACAACAATAATTAAACACTGATTAATTAAAGAAAGAAGAGGCCAAAAATGGATTTGATGTTATAGGAAAACATATATGAAAATAAACTTTTCAAAATGAAAGGTTAAAGACAGTGATGAACATAATACTTGGATAATTATGTAACCATACTAAAAAAAATGAATAATTAACACACATCAAGAGAAAAACATATCTAGTTGAAGTTGGAGAGCTTAAAAAATTTTAAATGAAGGAAACTCCAACAGAAAA